CTCATTTATTCTCAGGAACCCTACTTGCAAGTAGGACTAACACTTAGAGCACCATCTCCCAATCAACCCTAAGATATGGGTCTTTAGGAACACTGAAGCATAGTTTCTTACCCCCATCCTACATAGTCAAGCCACTCTGTTCATCAATTAAGGCATATATGAGATAACAGTCAACCTTTCTGACTACTGAGTTGCAATAATTGAAAAAAGAAAAACTTTGCCTGCACCTGTAACACAATATACACAACCACATGTAACTTTCTAAGGTTAGTTGCTATATTGGTTTTCTAGGGTTGCCATAGCCAAGTACCAAGGCCAGGTGACTCAAAACAACAGAAATATATTCTCCCACAGTTCTGGAGGTTAGAAGTCCTAGAACAAGGTGTCATCAAGATGCTCCCTCTAGTCTAAAGGCTGTAAGGAAAGATTTTTTTCCATATCTCTCTCCTGGTTTCTGGTGGTTGCTGACAACTCTTGGCATTCCTTGACTTGTAGATGCAGCACTCCAACCTCTGCTTCCCTTGTCACATGGCCTCATTTCCTTTGAGCCTATACCTCGGCATCTTCACATGACTTTTTCTCAGTGTCTAAATTTCCTAAATAAGATTTTATAAAGATGCCAGTCATTGGATTAGAATCCATCCTAATCCAGAATGACCTCATCTTAACTAATTCATCTACAAAGACCCTATTTCCAAATAAGGTTACATTCTGGGGAAGGTATGAATTATGGGGGGTCACTAAACCAACTCAGTACAGTTGAAGATCACCAAATCTCTTAGATGAGATTCATTGAACCCCAGAGGATGTAGAAATGCTACTCTGTCTGCTTTTCTAGAAAGCTGGTTCCACCCATAGAATCGATCTAAATTCAGTCCAATCTACAAATACTCTTAGTATACCATCAAAATTAGCCTTATTATGCACCTGATTCACAGCATTGCCTATGGCATTATCTTCACGGTAATATACAAACTCATCAAAATTGTGAAATTAATCCTTTCATCAACCCCAAATCATTAGTCTGCACTCAATCAACCAATTAGTTTGCAAGTGATAGAAATCCAACTCACACAAGGCTCACATAATTTAAAAGATCAGGTGTGGAGATGGCGCCATCCAGAGATGAGAGTTCAAAGCTACCATCAGGGCTTTGTCTCTTGTTTCTCAGCTCTTTTATCTCTGTTAAAATCATTCTGTTGGCCGGCTTGGTGGCTCAGTCTGTAATCCCAGCACTTTGGGAGGCTGAGGTGAGTGGACTGCCTGAGCACGCGGGGTTCAAGACATGCCTGGGCAACTTGACGAGACCTCATCTCTACAATAAATCAAAAATTAGCCGGGTGTGGTAGCACGCGGCTGTAGTTCCAGCTACTTGGAAGGCTGAGGCGGAAGGATCGCCAGAGCCCAGCATGTCCGGCTGCGGTGGCTAGGAGCACTGCACTCCAGTCTGGGCGACAGAATGAGACTCCGACTCAAAAAAAAAAAAAAAAAAAAAAAAATTCTGTTGGTGAAATCTCATCACATGGTGGGCATGCTGATAGCTGGTAACCCAAATTCACATTATCCCAGTATCACAACCCCAAAAGAAGAAAACATTTTTCTCTCAAAGTGGAATATTTGGTTGGCTTGCTTGGAACATATACCATTCCCGAAATGGTTAATTTAGCCAGGTGGATAGGGCACTATGACTGGCCAGTGTGAGTCACATGGCTACCTGCAGCAGGGGTTGCAGAACAAAGATTAATAGTCTCTATAAGATCATGTGTAGTAGGCGAAAGCTATCCTCAGAAAAAAAATTAATGGCAAATATAATGAGCAAACATACTTAAATAACATAGACTTGCTCTGTTGCTCAAATAAATCCTGTTTCCCCAGTCTGCACAGTTAGTTGATGCTTGACTTTTGTCTGCAGTACATAACCTGGAGTCTACAGAGAGTTGTTTGTTCAAGTTTATCCATTTATGAACTAATCTATGCTGTGTCTATCACCTGCCATCTAGCTTCTAGACTGAACTTACCTATTGAGTGTTAGGAGAATATTTCTGATACGACACACCCTATATTTATGAACAATCTACCCATGCAGTCATCACAGAATTTACTTTCCTGTCTCCTCTGTTCATGACATCTCTCTTCCAAACAGTATAATTTCAATCTCTTCTTCTTTCCCACACTTTTTATACCCATATCCACAGGTTTCCACACCATTACTAATCATGAAAGATGAGTATTAAATCATTTAATAAGTGAGGCTATAGGCTAAACAAATTATTTTGAAGTCATCAGAGCATAAGTGGAAGCTAATATAACTGATTGGATGAGATCACCCAGGTGACTTTTATAGAGAGGCATTGTCTAATGTGGCAGCCATTGGTCACATATGGTTACTGAGTTCTTGAAATGTGGCTAGTCTAACTTAAGATACGCTATAGGTATAAAACACACATCAGATTTCAAAACAGGATTTTTTAAAAGAATGCAAACTATCTCATTAATAAGTTTTATAGTTCATACTTTTATATGCTTGTCATTTTTTATTTTTTCTATTTGCTTGATTATTCTGATTTCCATGATGCTTTTTAGTTTGTTTTCAATATTTTCCTTTATTTATTCAACAAATATTTATTTATAATACTGTTAATGTGCTTTTATTAGTAGTAGATGATAGGGAAAGATAAACTATAAATTCCAGCCAGAACCTTAGTCACTAATATTCTACATTATCTTCCAGTCCTCAGTCACAGGACTTATGAGAGGTTTCTATTATCTTAACTCATGAAAATCAAATTAATATATTTAAAATGTATACTTGTATACATAATATTTTTACATTTAATTTAGTGGTTAACTCCAATGGTTTTAAGCCTTTCATGGAAGTTTTCTCCTCATTAAGTCAAATACTTTCTTAAAGTATTAAATGTATTCTTGTACACGTAATATTTTTTCATTTAGTAAAATGTAAACTTGTACATATAATATTAAAATGTATACTTGTAATCAGCCGGGCATGGTAGCGCATGCCTGTAATTCCGGCTACTCGGAAGGCTGAGACGGAAGGATCGCCGGAGCCCAGCAGGCCGAGGCTGCAGTGGCCGGGAGCGGCCACTGCACTCCAGTCTGGGCGACAGAGTGAGACTCCAACTCAAAAAAAAAAAAATGTACACTTGTACATGTAATATTTTTACATTTAGTTTAGTAGTTAGCTCCAATGATTTTAAGCCTTTCATGGAAATTTTCTCTTATTAAGTTAAAGACCTTCTTCCATTTTAAAAATTGGTCTTTTTGTTCACCTGAGTCCTAAAATAAAAAATATTTCTGAAAAATCTAGGAAGCTTTGAGAGGGGATAATAACTAAAACTTATTAAATCACACAAGCGTTCATCAAAAACATTACCTTTGGGGAATGCAATACCCATCACATAATAGACATTTCATGTATTTAATTGAACCAATAGACCCTACACTTTAGTATTTAAATAAATCACTAGATCATAAGAAACAAGGAAGGAGTTTCCTCAAAAGAATCAAAACGGGGAATGAGAGAGCAAACAAAAACAACATAATATATAAAAGAGCAAAAACATTAGGTGTGTATTTTTATGAAGACAGAATCTTAAAAATAGAAGAAATTACAAATCCCAATGAGCACAATTGTATCTATGCAATTAAGTGTACTGTATATACCATGTTCAAGTCTCCATGCTAAGCCCTATCTTCAAAGGTTTTGAGAAGACATATAAATCTTCCAAAATGGCACATAATAATGTAAGGGTGAATAAGGCTATAAGAACCAAGAGATAGTATCAGGCAATTTATAATTACTTCTCAAACAACTGTTATAAACAGAACATCAGGGTGGATTTGACAAGGCTGAATCTGGAAGTGGATCAGGATTTTTAAAAATGCCTAGGATTTTCAAACCTTTAAGGAAGGGGCCCAGGTATAAAGAAAGGATATGAGCCAAACCCCAGAGACAAGGAAACTTCAGGAATGATTGGGAAATATGGAATAAATCAGTTTGGCTAAAGAGTAACATAATTGAAAAGGAGTTATAAAGGACATGAAACTAGGTAGGCTGGTGTCACATTGTAGAGGTGTTTGGTGAAAGTCAAAACTTTGGTTATCCTTATCAATTATTTCCATCCAAATTCACCATATTCTTCTGAGCCTGGAATTGTCAAGATAAGTGGTGATTTACGAAAATAATTTTGTTAGCTATTCATGAAAATAAGATTTTCACTGGCATCCTAAGGATGATTTTACAGTTGTGCATCCTATCAGCCTGACTTCAAAACTTTATTTGTACCTCTTCTGTTCAGTGTATCTGGGATGAAAAAAATTCAACCATTTTTTTTAAGAAAGAGTACCTAGATAAGATATAAAATTTTCTTTGTGAAAAATAAATCAGAAATTGATGAATATCCAAATGCTAGGATTGTAAGAAAGTCTATTAAGGAAGGAAGATGGCATTTTAAAAAACACAAACTTCAATATCAAGGAATCATTTCATTTCTTTTTTTAAATTTTTAAATTTTATTTTAAAGATGCAGGGTACAATTCAGGATTAAGTATACAAGTGGTCATCATACAGGTAAAGTTTGGGCCTCCTTTTGGTCCCCACTTTGCCTGGTTTGAGATCAGGTACCTTTATTGATGTTGTATGCCCTGCACCCTCATCCCCGCAGTATCCTGCTACTGCCAATCCCTTTCTTATAGTATTATGATAAATGTTCAGGGTCCGCTTATGAGTGAGAACATGTGGTACTCTGTTCTTTGTCTCTGTGATAGATCACTGAGTATGACAGATTCTAAATCCATCCGAGGAATCACTTCATTTCTACAATGTATGTTCCTATTGGTAACATAATCCATCCAAGGAAGATTTCCCAGGATGTGAAAATGGAGTGGTTATGCACTATATTTACATAAATGACAGACAAACTTTTAAAGCAATATGAGAGTAAGACTTTTTTCTCAATAACAATTTAATTGTCTTTCAGGTTGAAGAACATATGCTGTTTTTGCAGGCAAACTACAAAGACATCGTTGCTGAAAAACAACAATTGGCAAATCGGAGAAGACTGGCAAGCAGACGCTTACAGTGTGCATCAATCTTACTTACTGTCCTGGAAGATGAGAAGGCATGTCTTTCCTTGGTTTCCTATCTCCTTCATTAATTTCTACTGGGTTCAACAAACCCAGAGATACTATTTTCACTGCAGACTGTATTATATACCTCCTAAAACTATCATACTATCAATTTCTTATTGAGATCAGTAGACATCCTATTCAGATAAAATTTTTAAAATCTTGTTCAAGTAGTCTTAAAACAGAAGTAACGCACTATAAAGATCTGGGATTATTTTGTTTCTGTTCCTAAGACATCAGTACACTTGTGTATGATAAGGTCCAAAGTAAACCTTTCAACAAATATGTCATTAGTTCTATTTTTCTAGCACTGGACAACCCAGGCTGAATGTATAAAACATGAGTGAGGCCAAAAGGGAGGAGGTGTCAGTAGGCAGGAAAAAGAAAATTCTGTTTTGTTCTGTGAGTCTTCTGATCCCTTTTTTCTCATCGTTTTATTTCTCCCCTAATTCATCTGCCTTCTCTATACTTGAATCCCTAGTAAGTTGACTAAAATATTGGTTTAGTTAGACCTCAGTTATCTCAAGGGAGGTTGCCAAATTCTCAATATAATTTTAATTTAGCTTAATTGTCTAAATAAATATCATAGAAAAGAAGATGGAAGGAAGTTATGAAAACAGACCAATCAAAGGGAGATTATAGCCCTCAAGAGTTAATTGACATTCCTGAGAGGCAGTGGATTAACAGCATTATCCCAGATGTTAAGTTTCCAGAAGAGAATATTCTTTCAACATGTTTTATTTATTGACCAAACAAGCACATACATGATTGAAGAGAGAGACCATATAGACAGAGAATATGAGTTCAGATCCCAACTACACTCCTCAGAAGATTTGTGATCTTGAGCAAGTTGTTTAACTTCTCTAAACTTCAACCTTTTCATCTTAAAATGAAGTCAATAGCATTTACTAAACAGGATATTGAAGATGTAAATAAGATTTTCAAAGTAAAGTAGTAGATAAGTAAAGATTCAGTAATCATTGGTGGCTATTATTGTTATTATTATTGGGCACCATTAATAATATACTACGAATTTATAGTTTTTAAATTATCCTGCTTTGGCAGAGCATGGTGGCTCATGCTTGTAATTCCAAGACTCTGGGAGTCCAAGGCAGGAGGATCACTTAAGACCAGGAGTTTGAAGGTAGTGTGAACTATGATTATGACACTGTACTCCAGTCTGGGTGACAGAGCACAATTCTGTCTCTTTTAATATATATATATATTCGAATATATATATATACACAAATATATCAAATCCTTTGTGTAATAAAGCAATATATATAATTGCTTTATTAATATATTACACAAAGGATTTGAAATAGCTATCTATCTATCTTAGCAAATATGACACTATTGACAAACCCAAAAATAGGACTAGTGTTCCTCTCAGAAAACAATTCATTTTGGCATCTATTATTAACTTTTTATACAGCTACAACTTGAGAATAGAAGTAATAATAGCAATGATAGATCCAACTTAGACACCATTAATTTTGTAAATGTCTCATAATAGTATATTCTATATCAAATAACTTATTTTATTTTAACTTTAGACTAAATGGCAAGAAACAATCAGTCAAATAGACAACAAGTTGAAAGGAATTTTGGGTGACATACTTCTTTCAGCAGCATGCATTGTCTACAGTGGAGTTTTAACATCAGAATTTCGCCAATTGATTGTGAATAAATGGGAGAATTTTTGCATTGAAAATGGAATTCCTTTGTCTTCCAAGTTTTCTTTAACTGAAGTCATGGCACAAAAATATGAGGTAGTATCATATTTCAGTTATCCAGTTAAGTGGTTGTTATTGTTGATTCGGATTTTGGATGTATATGTAGTCTTTGACTTGGATATTTTCCCCAAATTATTTGGATAAATGAAAATATTGAAGTTTGTTTCTGGCCTTAATTATTTTTATTTATATTTCTAATCCCTCAATTAGTTATATTTCTCCTGTTTCTCATACACTGTGCAAAAGTCACTGTACAGGTAAAGTTTGGGCCCCACTTTGATTACCAGGTTTGAGATCAGGTACCGTTATTGACGAAGTGTTTTGTTTTTGTCTTTAATTTTTATTGAAAGTCACAAAACATCATTTTCCCCATTAATCCTACTACCCTGTCCCAATGAATATAGGTCATTTCCCTCCCTAAAATCCCTTTCATTAATGAGATTGATGAGCTTATTGAGCCACAGGCAGTATTTTTAGATATAGTCAAAAATATAGACCTATGTTTAGTAATTTAGATATTTATTGTCTATTTATGTAAATTCTATGCTGATGTTTAAAGGATAAAAGAGGAATGTACACACATTTTTTTAATCCTCAGAGAGTAATGTTATATTGGTTTCTCTACTAACTCTACTTAAATTGGCCATCCAACCTACAAAATTTCACAAACAAATGCAGGCTTCTACTTCTAATAACGAATTTAAAGTCAAATATATCAATAAGTATATTAGATATAAATGGACTAAATGTTCCAGTTAAAAGTCTAAGATCGTAAGGCTATACAACAGTACAAACCAAAGCACTAAATGGAAACGATATGCTGTTTATAAAAGACATGCCCAAAACAAAGAAAGGTTAAGAGAGAAAATTTACTATAGATTACAAAAACAAAAGGACAAAGTAGATTTTACGGCAAGAAAAAAAGTATTACTAGAATTAAATAAGGTCACTTTGCAATAAGAATTGGTTTAATTCTCCAAGAAAATGTTAACAATTCTAAATTTGTACCTAGCAATAATACAAAGCAAACATTAAAAGAACTACAGGGGAAATTAGACAAATTTACAATTATAGTCACTACACTGTCTTCTTTATCTGTATTCAGAGGCCATCTACACTCCAACCAGCAGGAATTCTTTTATCATTTCAGGATTCTTTATCATTTCTTTCCTATTTTCTTCTATACAGAATTCAAGGGCAGGCAATCCTTCATAGGCTTAGTCAAAAAAAAGTTTCCTCTGTTTTCTTTTTTGTTTATTGTTTTGTTTTGGTTTGGTTTGGTTTGGAGTTGGAGTCTCACTCCGTCACCCAGGCTGGAGTGCAGTGGCATGCTCACAGCCACCACAGTCTCAACCTGCTGGGCTCAGGCGATCCTTCTGCCTCAGCCCTCCAAGTGGCTGGAACTACAGGTGCAAGCCACTACGCCTAGCTAATTTTTTTATTTATTGTAGAGACGAGAACTTGCCAGGTTGCCCGGGTTGGTCTCAAACCCCTGGTCTCAGGCAATCCTTTCACCTCGGCCTCCCAAAGTGCTGGGATTATAGACTTGAGCCACCATTCCTGGCCTCCTCTGTTTTCAAACTAAAAAGTATTATTGATTTTTCCTGGGGAGACCCCCAATGCTTTTTGCTGGAAGAATCCCTAGTGTCCGGTTTCTTCTCTTCCCTAATGGGCTTCTTGGCTTTTTTCTCCAAACCTACTGATACTACTATGAAATAGGAGTGCCAGGAAAAGAGAGGCTACATAAAGAGTGAAAAGCTTATCAGGTTTGGAGTCAGCTTCTGAGTCAGACCTTAGCTCTGCCTCTTATTCTGACAGTATGACCATTGGCAAGTACCTAACCTATTTTAGCCCAAGTTCCTCCATCTGAGAAATGAGGGTTGTTGTAGTCATTTCACCAGATAATATATATACATACTTAGCAGGTAGTAGGTGCAAAGTAGAATAGCTATAATTATATTGGCACAATTCTATAATATTGCATGTTTCATATATGGCTTAGCTATGAAAATAGGTGCTCTAGCTTATTTATTTTCTCTCTCTCACAACATCTTTGTTGTGGTGTGTATTATAATGTCCTTGCTGATAAACACAGAAAAGTGTAAATTAGTGAATAATCACTCACCCGTACCAAAAGTTTTATATCCAGGTTGCTTTAAATTGTCCATTTCGCCGGGCTCGGTGGCTCAGCCTGTAATCCCGCGCTTTGGGAGGCTGAGGTGAGTGGACTGCCTGAGCCCACGTGTTCGAGACCCGCCTGGGCAACTTGGCAAGACCTCATCTCTACAATAAATAAAAAATCAGCCAGGCGTGGTAGCGCGCACCTGTAGTTCCAGCTATTTGGAAGGCTGAGGCGGAAGGATCACCGGAGCCCAGCAGGTCGAGGTTGCGGTGACCGGGAGCGGCCACTGCACTCCAGTGTGGGCAACAGAGAGACTCCAACTCAAAAAAAAAAAGTGTCGATTTCCTTAGCCCTTTTAAAGATTATTCAATTTTCTAAAGGCAATGATCTGTAGGATCCTTTCATATCTTGTAGGACACTAAAGATGTGAAGAAGCATATGAAATAGTGAATGTACTAATGATGTCATTTCAGATCAGTCGATGGCATAATCAAGGGCTACCTCTTGGTCAGTATTCAACAGAAAACGCCATCTTAATGGAGAATTGCCAGCAGTGGCCACTGTTGATTGACCCACATAAGCAAGCACACAACTGGATCCGTCAGATGGAAGGATCCAGGCTGCAGGAGCTCTCCATTGAGGATAGCAACTACATCAAAAAAATTGAAAATGCTATGAAAATAGGAGGGAGTGTCCTCTTGCAGGTATTAGGGCTCTCTGTTTCTATGTAGCTGACACATATGTTGTATGCACTGAGCATAAGGACTAAAAGTTTTAAGTGACAAGTAACTGTCAGGGAAAAATAAGACATACGTATGTGATACATACAGTGAGTGTTCAATAAATCTCCACTATGTTATTCTGGGCAGCTATATAAAAGAACAAAACTAGCCGGGCTCGGTGGCTCAGCCTGTAATCCTGCGCCTTTGGGAGGCCAAGGTGAGTGGATTGCCTGAGCCCGCAGGTTCAAGACCCGCCTGGGCAGCGAGACCTCATCTCTACAATAAATCAAAAAATCAGCCAGGCGTGGTAGCACATGCTTGTAATTCCGGGTACTCGGAAAGCTGAGATGGAAGGATTGCCAGAGCCCAGCAGGTCGAGGCTGCGGTGGCCGGGAGCAGCCACTGCACTCCAGTCTGGGCGACAGAGTGAGACTCCAACTCAAAAAAATTTAAAAAAAAAAAGAACAAAACTATGACCTTTGTAGCAACATGGATGCAACTGGAGACCATCATTCTAAGTTAATTATCACAGAAACCAAAAATTGAATACCACATGTTCTCACTCATAAGTGGATACTAAACACTGGGCACACATGGGAACAAGGATGGGAACAACAAACACAGGCACTGCTAGAGGAGCGAGGGAAGGAGGGGAGATAAGGGATACAAAACCACCCATTGGGTACCATGTTCGCCACTGGGGGGACAGGGGCGAGTTCATCAGAAACTCAAACCTTGCCTTTGTGTGATATACCTATGTAACAATTCCTCACATATACCCCATGATTCTAAAATTTGTTTTAAATGTTCACTTCTCTTAGAACTTTCACTGAATCCACATATTTAACAAGATTTAAAATGTTTAAATGCTGTGTTTTTTCAAACAACTTGTTTTACGATTATTTTTCTTATTTTTGTCTATTGGGTTTTTCAGAATCTCCTTGAAACATTAGCTCCAGGTTTAAAGGCAATTTTGAAGAAGGATATCTATCAGAAAAGAGGGCAATATTTCATAAGGGTTGATGATGCTGAGATCGAATACAATTCTGAATTTAGGTAATGTCTCTTATAGTTAAACTGAGTCAAATGTCTATATATTCTTAAAGGACTTATATTTCAGTCCTGATAGGCTTCTACCTGGAGGAAACAGTGAGATTGCATTTGGAATATCCTTTTTGTTTTTGTATTGTCATAGCACTCATTTACATACAGAAAAGAAAACAGATTTTTATCAAGTCACTCCAAACCAACACTTTTCAAACTGTTCATAATGAAACCTGTGCGTTCCATGAAGATTCTTCAGAAGTTATACAGGAAGGAGCAAACAGAAAACCTGCCCCACTTGATCCAGAGAAGGTCTATTTGATCTGTTTGCCTAACATATTTAGGAAAGAAAAACTTCTGCCTTCTTAAAAAAAAATTCATATTTAATATCTAGAGTAAAAACAGATTTTGCCTAGAGCAATAAAAACATTGTATCCATGTTCCCAGCACTAATGGGACTCCAGGAAACCAACTCCCACTAGCCAACTTCACACAGCACTATTATATAGTCAAATCTGATTACCACAAAAATATGATACCCAAGAAAATAAGATATTTGAGTTATTGTTCATGTATATTCCTTCTTTGTAGGCAAAGCTACAAGAAAATCAATTCATAATCAGAAAATTGCTGGGTAAGCAAGTGGTCAGCAGGGGAAATTATAAGACTTTAATAATCCCTAGCCTGGTGTGTTTAGCTTCTTACAGGAATTCAGACAGACCAACCCAAGTGTGACTGACTCTGTTGGTCAGTGTGTCCGCTTCTCTGCAAGGGGCTGCAAAGTCTTTCATCAAATTCTTACTTCTTAGAATTCTCTCTTCCATCCTCCTTCCTTCTGTTAATAAAACATTCTCCAAAGATTGTTCCTTAAAACAACATTTCCAGGATCTAATAGGTTTCCCTCAAAAAAGAGATCCCAAGGTATTTAAAGCAGGGGTTTAAACAAAGTTGAATAGGGTCTTTCCTAAAAGACTTTAAACCCCTATAATTCACCAAACCTTCTCCAAAAAACAGTGTTTTATAGACTATGCTTAGAAAAGCACTGTGTTACCATCCTTTTGGGTTACCATTCTTTTTTCCCACTGGATACAATATGATTGATTAAGAAACAGCTCTAAAAAGGTTAATGAAATTACATTTTCCTGCTGGGCTCAGTGGTTCAACCTGTAATCTCGCGCCTTTGGCAGGCTGAGGTGAGTGGACTGCCTGAACCCGCGAGTTCGAGACCCGCCTGGGCAGCGAGACTCATCTCTACAATAAATCAAAAAATCAGCCAGGCGTGGTAGCGCATGCCTGTAATTCCGGCTACTTGGAAGGCTGAGGAGGAAAGATCAACAGAGCCCAGCAGGTCGAGGCTGCGGTGGCCGGGAGCGGCCACTGCACTCCAGTCTGGGCGACAGAGTGAGACTCCAACTCAAAAAAGATTAAAAAAAAAAAGAAATTACATTTTCCTGGACTGACAACCTGGTCCTCATGTTAGAAATGTGTATCTTGATGAGGTGGTGGAAGGCACTGTAGTTAAGGGCAGCCTTTGGCAACAGACTCTACCCTGTGACTTTCTGGCCATGTGATATGGGCAATTTATTTAATCTCTCCAAGTTTCAATTTCATCCTTCATAAAATGGAATTAAGAATTGTTTGGCTGGGCTCGGTTGCTCAGCCTGTAACCCCAGCGCTTTGGGAGGCTGAGGCAAGTTGATTGCCTGAGCCTGCGGGTTCAAGACCAACCCAGACAACTTGGCGAGACCTCATCTCTACAATAAATCAAAAATTAGCCTGGCGTGGTAGCACGCACCTGTAGTTCCAGCTGTTTGGAAGACTGAGGCGGAAGGATCGCCGGAGCCCAGCGGGTCGAGGCGACAGAGTGAGACTCCAACTCAAAAAAAAAAAATTGTCCCTGCTTTGTTAATCTGACCACTCCTCACTGTGACCGCCACTGGCACCAACCACCTTGCTCCAAGCCACCATCATCTTTGAAATTTTAACCAGTCTCCCAGCTCTGTCTTGCTCCCTTTCCCTCCCACTCAGGCTATTCTCGCGATAGCTACTAGAAAGGTCCAGTTTAAAAAGATCTTGTCACTCTCCTCCTCAAATCCCGTTTCATTCGCTCAGGGTTAAAACCATAGTCTTTACAATGGCCTAGATGCAAGTCAAACTTCTACTATTTAACATTTTTCTTTACTCTGTCCTCATGCATAAACCAAATATAGCATGGGCATAGTTTATGGTTTTCTTTTTTTAAGTCTTAAATATAAAATGTATCCACATAGTATAAATTAAGAGCCTACTTTGTGTACAAATCTGAAAATGCTAGAAATTAATCTTGTTTACTTCCAGGAAAAATATTTTTTGCATTCTTAAACTGGCTTCATTTTTTTCCTCTGTATGCTCTTTGAATAACTGGTGCCTTTCTTGTGTTTAGGTTATACTTATCTACAGAAATAGACAACCCCCATTTTCTTCCATCAGTTTATAACTTTGTTACTATGATCAACTTCACGGTCACATTCCAAGGTTTGCAAGATCAACTCTTATCTACTGTGATAACTCATGAAGTTCCGCAGCTGGAAGATCAACGTTCCCAGTTATTGGAGAGTATTTTCCTTGATGCTATAACTCTTGAAAAACTAGAGGAAAAAACATTAAATTTACTGCAGAAAACACAAGGTAGGTCAAGATATTTAGTGATATTGAGAGACCTTTGTGAAGGACAGAATAAAAAGTTATAAGGACCATATTCCGAATTGGTACCAAAAATATCTGATCTCCATTTCCACTCGATAACTGATGAATATAGGTGAACCACCCCATTTCTAAGCTTAAATATTGTGAATTTTTATGTTCCTCAGTTTCCACCTTTGCTTTCGCTCATTATGTCATAGGACATTTACTATCGTATAATTGGTATAAAATGTGAGACAAATATTAAAGAGACTGGTTTGTTCCCTCCAAGGCTCTATACCTGTACTTCAGGTACCTGACATCTGTTATATGTCTCAAGTTAGATTACAGAGACTGAAAGATGAAGTTTTTCCCAAGTATTAATAGCTAAAATCTCTTTAAACAGGAAATAATCCAGTGACTTTTATGTATCCCATTCAAATATGCTGTTTATTAAAGTAGCAGTAGAAATTATCTTCTTCAGAACAAGAAATATGTAAGAAACCATAGTCTTTACGGTAACTAAACTTAAAGAAACATAAATTCCTGGGTTACACTGATGCATGTTCCTAATTCAACTATGGAAAAATACAGTTCATCTAACAATGGATTATCTTTCTATTTTAATTTGTGACTCATTTGAACATCCGAAAAATTTCTAAAATTAGTCTTCAATTAAAAATAGGTATAGACTATAAGAAAGGGATTGGCAGTAGTGGGAAACTGTCAGGGGAAGGGGGGTGGGATTGGCAGTTGAGGGAAACTGCTAGGGGAGGGCGGGGCACACCTCATCAACAAGGCTACCTGCATAATCAACATTTGTATACCTAACCCTGAATTGTACCCCACGTCTTTATAAGAAAAAAAAAGAGTAGGTATATAAATCCTCTGTAGAGTTTATTGCTTTCTTTATTTTTAAAAAATACCAATGTAAATGGGTACCACAACAGACTCACTGAGTCTGAACTTTTACAAATGGGATCCTGTCTTATATTTATTTTTGAAACTCTCTACACAATTATATTGTCCACTGCTGATTAAATATTATTTGTCTAATCTAAAGGCCCAGAGTCTGGGATGCAAGTCAAATGTTACCAGATACTGTAGTAAAATGAATTAAAACTAATTTTTCTTTTTTAAAAAAGGTAAAAATGTATCAATAGTAATAAATAAGAATATGCTGCTTTTTTATTTATTTTTTTTATTTTTTGAGTTGGAGTCTCACTCCCTCACCCTGGCTGGAGTGTAGTGGCACGCTCCCAGCCACCGCAGCCTCGACTTGCTGGGCTCAGGCGATCCTTCCGCCTCAGCCTTCGAAGTAGCCGGAATTGCAGGTGCGCGCTACCACACCCAGCTAATTTTTTATTTATTGTAGAGACTAGCGCTCGCCAAGTTGCCCAGGCAGGTCTCGAACCCGCGGGCTCAGGCAATCCATTCACCTCGGCCTTCCAAAGTGCTGGGATTACAGGCTGAGCCACTGAACCTGACCAAGAATATAATTTTTAAAAGGAAGGAAATAAATTGTGACAAGGCATAAAGTAGCCATTGCGGATTACTGACCATTTTCAAACATGCAAAAACCCAAGGAATTAAAACCAAAACAAACAGAAGCTACTTGATGATGAAATCTCACCAAATAAGCAATCAAAATCAGAAAGTAAAAGGAAATCTGAATGCAATTACCTCATATTTCATGGAGAGAAGTCAATCTATATTATTTAAAATTAAAATGTGGAGGGACAGGATTAAAATGGCTGATGTGAGGCCTTTAGAGTGAGTTTCTGTTATGGAGTAAACCAGGTTAGAGTTTCCTCAGCACCCAGAGAAAAACAAGACCAGGGAACTGCCTTACCCACAGCCAAGCTCTGCCAAAGCTTCACATGGAGTGGTTGGTGCAGGAAAAAAGAAAGCCTTGAGCAGCACCAGCCACCATTTCCCAGGAACTCAACCCTTATGGGCAACACAGCTGCTTCCTAACTGGCCTGGGAGGTGATGGGTCCCAAGGGCAAACTTCATGCCTGCAAGGTTTCTGGCTGGGGTCTGAGGCTGCACTTTGACACAGATTGCCTGAGGCTAAGGTCGGGTCGGACTTGTTGCCATAGCAACCTCTCACTCTTCTGTACCTTCCCTGGCCTGGGACTCCCTCCAATACCCACGTGGGTATTCAAAAGTACACTTTTGTGAGATACTCAAGCTCCTTTCCTTCAGCCCCCCCACACTCCCCTTGAAGACTCAAAACAGAGAGCAAAGGTAATCCCCAGACTCACACTTTGCCTACATTTACTGGGCATTTCCTTAGAGCAGTGCATGCCAAGGAGAAATCCCAAAGCCTCCTTCACTAGCTGTCTGCCACGAGTGTCACTTCCTAGCTGGAAGTCAACATTAGAGCCTACCACGTAAGGGGTATCTCAGCTTTGAGGAAGGCCTGATCCCAAATCCCAGCTCACAACACTTTTCAAACCACTCTGGCCACTCGGGACACCGTGAGCCAGTGCAGAGACCCAATACAGGATTACCACAGCTGGCAATTGAGAAACTCACCACATCAAGGCTATATATAACCAAGGGAATGTTACAGTGCCTATGTCAGCCCCTTACTACCCTCAAATAAGAAGAACTAGTCTACCCAAATAAGAAGGAACCAGAAAAATAATTCTGACAATATGAAAAAACAGAGTTCTCCAAAGTCCCGGAAAGACCACATCAACTCTTCAGTGACGCACCCTAACCAAAATGAAATTGAAATTCCAGAGATAGAATTCAAAAGGTTGTTTATAAAATTGCTAAATGAGATTTAAGAGAAAGTTGAAAACCAACATAAAGAAAAAAAATTTTTAAACTATTCAGGACATGAATGAAAAAGTCGCAGAGAGAGAGACACCTTTAAAAAAAAAAAAGCCGAGGTGGCTCAGGCTGTAATCCCACACCTTTGGGAGGCTGAGGTGAGTGGATTGCCTGAGCCCACGGGTTCGAGACCTGCCTGGGCAGCGAGACCTCATCTCTACAATAAATCAAAAAAC